CACTGGTCATTCACAGGGCACTTCACCTAGAGCAAGCGGCAACGGGGATAACAATACAAACTCTCCAGGTCTGAGAAGGTCACTCAGGGCAAGAGGCCCTCCCAAATACCTAGCCGATTACGTAAGGTGAACAGGTACATAGCAAGAGCTGACTGAATGTGCTGGCGGGTTGTATTTAAATAAAACAAGGTCGGGGGGGTCACTGGATCTGGTTCAAAGGAACAGTCCCACACCTCATACATTGTGTAACTTTATTTCAGTATTAATTATATTACCATCTATAGGATGGTGTCCCTGTGGGCGCAATCTTATTTCATCCAGGGGGAAGGGGTGTTGTGTCCTGAGCCTGCAAGAGGCAGGCTCGGGACGTTGCAAGAGTCCCGGGCATTTGCAGAAGCTGCCCGGGACCAGACTGAGCGGCGCCAGCCTTGTGCGCATGCGCAAGGCGGGAAAAGCCCGCCTCATGATTGGTTGAACTTGCCCGGGGATCCGAGGGTATAAATAGAGGCCTGCGTGCCTCTGCTCTGGTTGTTCGTAGAGTAGAGCAAACAATAAAGACTTGTTGGAGATGATTCGTCTCAAGCGCCATTATTCCCAGGACTTAACACTTGACTTACAACAGTTCATTTAGTGACCGTTCAAAGTTACAACGGCACTGAAAAAATGACTTATGACCAGTTTTCATACTTAACAACCATTGCAGCATCCCCATGGTCACATGATCAAAATTCAGACACTTTGCAATTGACTCATAGTTATGACGGTTTCAGTGTCCCAGGGACAGGTGATCCCCTTTTGCGACCTTCTGACAAACCAGGTCAATGGGGAAGCTAGATTCACTTAGCAACGGTGTTACTAATTCAACACCTGCAGTGATTCACTTAGCCACTGTGGTAAGAACGGTCGTAGAATGGAGCAAAACTCACTTAACAAATGTCTCACTTAGCAACAGAAATTTTGGACTCAATTGTGTTCGTAAGTCAAGGACTAGCTGTAAATATAATCAGATTTTATTCCTAGTTTGGTTTTTGAAAGAAGTGGGCACCTGATTTTCTGTGTTTGAACCAAGCCTCATCTATCAAGGAAGACTTGTCTCCTCTTCTGCACGCTGGGAGGACTCCAGGGAAAACAGGATGCTGATTTGTCACTGATAGACGTACCTTTGCTTTTACATATGATATAAAGAGCCTAACTAAGTTTGCTATTCCTCCCACATGCAGATCAGTTCAACAGTGGCTGGACACGTAAAAACCATCATTACAGGCTATGGAACAAACACATCCCTTTCAGATCATGGTGACAGCTGGGATTTTGTGCAAGAGCAGGTAAGCTGTCTTCCTGTTATGTTACTGTAACAGTAATATTAGTTTTTCCATCCTTTACCTCCACTGATGTGATTTTTGGGGGACATATTTGGCTGTATGTAGGGTGACTCACATAACATGCTAAGCCATAAGGTGGTTTGTTTAGATTTGGCCTGGTGTGCTGGGTGGATGTAGCCATATGGCTTGAAAGTCATGATATGTGAATTTTAAAAATTCTGGTTGATTGACATGGTTAAAGCCATGTTGGATGAGTCCAGCCATAGAGTCAACCTACAACTGAACTTAGTTCATTCATCAGGTATGGCTATGATGCCATATTTACTAATATTGATTACATATATATGTAATGCTGTGGTGGCACAATGGTTAAAATGCAGTATTGCAGGCTAATTCAGCTCCCTGCCAGGGGTTCAGTCCTCACCGGTTCAAGGTTGACTCAGCCTTCCATCCTTCCGAGGTCAATAAAATGAGGACCCAGATCGTTGGGGGCAATATGCTGACTATGTAAACCGCTTAGAGAGGGCTATAAAGCACTGTAAAGCGATATATAAGTCTAAGTGCTATTGCTATACAGCCTGCTTTTCTCCATATTGGAGCTCAAGTTGGCATAAATAAGAGCAGTTCTCAACCTTGGCAACTTGAAGATCAGTGGATTTCAACTCCCAGAATGCCCCAGCCAGCATGTTCATTTAAGAGTTCTGGGAGTTGAAGTCCATACATCTTCAAGTTGTCAAGGTTCAGAAACATAGGATAAGAGATTTTATGGAGTCTCCCATTTAGGCATGGACCATGCTCATATCTGCTTAATTTCAGCAAAGTTGTGCCAACCCTGTGCTGGGGAACACTTTTCCTCTAGTAGTTTTTTCTGTTGCAGGATAAAAAACAGTGATTTTCGTAAAATGAATGATTCCAGTACATAGATAGGAAAGTTTTGTCTCTCCAACCATCTTCTCTTTCTCACTGTCTTCAATCCCATCTCTTTTTCTTAGTTCCAGTGCTGCAGCTGGACAGGCTGGACAGACTGGATGGAAAATAGCAGGGTCAGAAATGCCTCAAATAAACAGTTTCCCTGCTCCTGTCGTAACACCTCTGTTCTACCTTCAGCCAACAACAGAACAACTGCCAAGCTGGCCCTCTTTTGCCAAGCAGAGGGACAGTTGCCAATCAACAATAGAGTGAGTGGCCCACGCATTGTTCTTGGGTTGGGGGTGTGCACAATGCAGTCTATCCCCTTTGGGTACTTGTGGTGACGGCTGCATTCCTCTGTTGACATAAAACAGTTTTTAAAAACTTGACCCAAATCCTGCAGGGGAAAAAGTCATGGAATGCCAGCATTCTCTGTGCTCACCAGTATTTGTATCCAGAATGTTTAGGCAATTGTTTAAAAGGGGGCAGGGAAGCATACAAGTGATCGTATGACAGTGACTGAAAAGGATGCCAGTTCCTGCTCATCGGGGAGAGGGAGGGGGAGAATTCGTGCACAAGATATTAAGCTTGCCACGTTCGTTCTCCTGTTTAATTTCTGAAAAGAGATGGCTTAAGAGGCAATTGGGTATGGCAGATAGTTGTAAAATAAATTTTAAAAATACATAGGAAGGAGAGCATAGATGGAACAGCTTATTCCAATGCATTTGGGAGATGCCAAATTGAGGGAAACTGTAATAGATCTTCCGCTAATAGATCTTCCAAAAAAAGGGTGCTGTATATTGATTGATTCCAATTTTGAGACTGTCCAACTCCTTGTCAACCGATTGGCTTACAAATAAACAAAACATAGAAAACATGGCAAGCTAGAAGAGCAAAACTAAGCTAAATTAAAAGGAACCCCCCCCAACCATCCTGTCCTGAGGCCTGGGTGAATACCCAGGTTTTTTTTAGTGATTTCTGGAACATCATAACAGCTTTTGTCCAGTTTGGCACTTTCTAGGCGGGTGGTTGATTTGATGGTAGCCAGAAATAGGACCATTCAGAATGAAAAAAAATATTTTTTCCCTATCCTATCCACTTCTTTTCATGTATTGATTTCCATGTCACTATGCCATTGCACCTTGTTCTTACTTTTTCCAACCATGAAAGAATAGAATTAACCTACTTGCAAAAAGAGAATTGTACAGAAGAGAATTACACACTATTTTTGGGACCACAATTGATATATCCATTTGATATAAGTATTTATTTCTGAGCAGCATGCATTTCTGTTTACAAAAATGGTATAATAAAATGAGAAGCAGATGTGCATGATTATAATAATGTTATTTAAAAAGAAACAAAGAATACTGAGAACAAAGCATCTAGCCACAGCCCAGAATGGGGGTTCTAGCTTATAATTTAAAGCCAAGTCTTACACCTCTCCTAACCCGTAACAGGGTAGGGCTAATCAGATCTCGGGGTTATGTTATTCCAAACAAGTATGGCTGCAATGGAGAAGACTCTGCATCTTGGGCCTTGTAAACCACCTCCTTAAGGAAAAGGGCTTGGAGTGAATCTATTTGGATGGACACAAGCTACTGGGGCAAGCTGGTCTTGTAAATATGTAGGCCCTTAGCCATAGAGGTATCGATTTCAGCCTCTTTCTGCTGACTCCTTGAAATGAACAGCCAGTTGGTGTGGGAATGATGAAAAGAAATAGGTATTCATACATTGCAAAAGTAATTTGTGGGACTCAAGGCTTCCTGATATGGAGAAGGACAGCGCCATGGGTGTTTCTGAACATTAGTAAGCCAGATTCGTAAAGGAAAGGACTAGCAAAGGCAAGGCTAGGGTCAGAGTGCAGAAAACAAAGGTGAGGTGTTCTTTTCTGATTTTTTTTTTTGTGTGTGAGTTTTTTGGCTATATCTGTTGGGCTGCAATGTGGGAGTGAGTGAGATGTGCCTTATAATTGATCTGACAAGGGTTGTCCCTGGAATTCCATCTGATGCTCCTTTTTAATGTATTTTTGTCCATTTGCAGGGCTGCAGGGAGAGCGTCCAAACCTGGCTGAACAATAACCTCATCAGCATTGTAGGGATCTGCCTTGGGATTGCTCTCCTAGAGGTAAGCGCTCCTCACTGACGACTGGGTACAGCTACATTTCTACCAATAGAAAAATAGAAATAATAACAGGGATGTGCAAATATTGATGGGTTTGAAGACCTCCCAAAATCCTTACAAAATCATTCAATTTATACCACCTCGTATGGTATTTATTTTCAGGACTGTCCAAAGACATTTTGTAATAATAGCAATCTTCTTTTCCCATCAAGCCCATTATATGAAGGCATGTAGTACTGAAGTACAATTGGGTCTTGTAGGCAGAAAATCCCATAAAGGCCATCCTTTCATCCTCTGGAATATTAAGCTAAATATTTAAGTATTAGATGCTGTTTCATGGAATTCAGATTTGCATGTTTTGAGATCTAATTTTTTAAAGCATCCAATAGTCATAGCTCCCTGAGTACTTTGCTGTTTGATGATGGAATGATCCAAATGTGGGGTTTTTTTCTGCCTGGCTAAGGTGCCATCAGTGTCCCTACCAGTCTACTCATTTCGATCAGGAGGCATTGCTGGTGGACAGCTGAAATATTTATATGTGCTTGGTTGTGAGTGCATTACATGATAAAGAATTGAGGTCTTTATCTCTTCATCCTGGATCTTTCTTGTAGTTACTGCAGCTGCTGTGCATGTTGCTGGTCACTGCATTAGAACACAAGGACCTGCATAGTGGTAGCTCCCAGGAGATTCCTAACAGGTGGCCAAAGAGGGTGCATAGATGTTTCCAGCTTTCTGCCATGCCTTGTTATTTGTGTCTTCCTATGTTGGGAAGGATGTGTTACTTCTTCTCTGTGCATGTCCTTTTCTATGTGACCTGTGTGGCTCATGAGTGCAGTGCAGGGACTACTGATTTTTCTTGGGTGCAAGCATTGGCCAGAAAAGCTGCTGTCATCCCCAAACATCATAGTGTCATGCTTGTGTATTTGCAGGGAAGATGCTCAGCAAAAGTTGTGCTTCTGAGAGATCCCATATGAATCCTTGTGAATTCACCTAGTCCTAGCCCATTTCCTCTATCTGGCACTCTTCACATCTGCTGGATTATAATGTAGAATAGTGTAGTAATTTTAGAAATGTGATTTAGGCCAGAAAGACTTGGGATCAAGTCTTTAGGAGCCATAGTGGTACAGTGGCTAGAATGCAGTATTGCAGGCTAATTCTGCTGACTGTCAGGGGTTTGATACTCACTGGCTCAAGGTTGAGTCTGCCTTCCATCCTTCCAAGGTAGTAAAAAGAGGACCCAGATTGTTGGGGGCAATATATGCTGACTCTGTAAACCACTGAGAGAGGCTGTAAAGCACTGTGAAGCAGTATATAAGTCTAAGTGCTATTGCTATCAAGTTTACTCTAACTGTAGTTTATTGGCTAATGTTGGGCCATTCACTCTTTCAGCCCAAACTTGGACAGTGGTTGCTTGTTAACATAAAAGGAGATCCTCTGTGGAGCTCCCATGAGCTCTCGCACAAAACAATGCAAGAAATAACAATTCTCATCACCCCACGCCAGCACAGCCAATGGTTCCTGAGGATGATGGCCAATGTAGTCCAACACAACTGGAGAAGACATCAAATAACTTTCTCTATGAGCATGTGTGGAGATTACCTTTCTGGGAATCGGTTGTTTTCCTTACTGACTTTCTGAATTGGCTGGAAGACAATAGATTGTGTGTGTGTGTGTAGGTTAAGAGTAGTTTGTTTGGGAAAATTGCAATCGATTGTGTTACTTCCATATTTTTTTTTAAAGAAAAGCAAACACAGCTGTTTGTGCTGTTTTGTAAGTTTTTTTTTTAATGAACTGGCATATATCCAAAGGGCCTGGATTTTAAAGAAAGAGGTAGAAGAGGAACATAGTGTTTTTCTGGTATTCCCCAATGAGAATCACATAGATTTGGAAAACCCATGAAATTAATCTAATTTCTGATGCAGATCTAAATTTAAAAACAAGACATGCTTGCAGTTCTTTTCCAAAGGCCCCATAATGAATTATTCTTTCATTATTCCTCCTGTCTGTACTTCTAATGCCATCCAAGAAGAGCTTTTAACCTTTGGGCCTTTATGGGTAAGCCCTGCCTGTGGTTGCAGCCCAAACCCTTAGCTGTTCCAGTGTGCTTTCGATAGGCTGACTGCTGGGTATATGCATACGCCCGCTGTATTTCTCAACACCTACGCACCTTACCCTTGGCATAGGTCTAGGCATGTCTGAAAAGGTGAAGTGTTTATTTGCTTCCCAAAGTGATGCATGAGCCCCTGGGTTATGTTTGTGCTACTCCTTAATTCTCTCTTGTTTCTGAAACCTCTTTCCATTTTGATAATCATTTAAATTATTTCACATACCTGCTGCACAGGGACATCTACTTGGAGTTTTGGCAAGGTAATTCATTCCAAAGCATTGTCAGGCCTGAATGTTCCTTTAGTACAAATGTGTCAATGTCCACGATGCTTTGTTTTCCCCACCCTATTCCTCCTTTTCAGGTTAATGTCTTACCTGCATCTTGTGCTGTTGCAAAAAGAGCTTTGCTGCCCCCCCAGGGCCAAAATGAAACATGTCATGCTATGGGGTCCAAGAACTACAGGTGCTATAGTTACTTGAGCACCAATAAGGAGAACTGGAGAGGGCAAATGCAGCAGAGAACAAAAAAAAAGCAGTTAAGAGAGACTCAAATGCTACAGGGCAAAGATTCACCCCCTTTTCAGCATTGATAGTCATCTTCCCTCCTTCCAGCAAGATGTATTTTATGAGTCATTCTGGTTTCCGTAGCTTCTTTCCATTGTGTGTATTTACTTTCCCTGTGGTGGATTATATTTCAAGAATTCCGCAGCCAACCTTAGCATTGCTGATCGATGTGTCTGGAGAGCGCCCAGATAAGGGAAAGCACTTCAAGGATAATGGGGATTGTAGTTCAGCACACATGAAAGGTACCTGGTTGGGTTCAATAAGGATTCAGAGATACCTACTGTACTCATGAGTTGTAATTTCAGGGCTTAGGTCTAGACTAGGGGTCTTCAAACTTGCCCCTTTTGTGACTTGTGGACTTCAACTCCCAGAATTCCTCAGCCAGCGTGCCTGGCTGAGGGATTCTGGGAGTTGAAGTCCAAAAGTCATAAAAGGGGCAAGTTTGAAGACCCCTGGTCTAGACACTATGGCTTCTTTACAACCTGTGGACTTCAACTTCTGGCTGGCTCAGGAATTCTGGGAGTTGAAGTTCACAGGTCATGAAGGGGCCACAATTGGCACGCATCCAACCTTCCCAGTGCAATGGATTCCCAACTTCCAGAAATCTCAAGCAGAAATACTGGAGATTGAAGTCTGACCAATCTGAAGGTTATGGGATCAAATTGAGAATCTAATATAATCTTATTTTTAAATTGCTTTGCAAACTATCCCAAATGTGGAGTTTAGCTTTTCTTATGATAGAAGTGTGGTTGCTGTTTCTTTTACTAACATCTCTCTTTTTCCCCACAGCTCTTCCTCATGATGGTATCGATGCTTCTGTGTAGAACCGTTGGTCCCAACTACGACAAGCTTGCTCGTTATTCCTAGGCAAACAGACTTTTTGGGGAAATGGCACTGAAGAACATTCCGTCTTATTTAGACATTCCACCAGGGTTTTAAAACCATACATTGTAGAGCCGCAGTTACGTTCAGCAAGTTTACTATCTCACTTTCTTGTCCTAAGTGATCCAGTCTTGGAAACTGAGATGAAACTTTCAAGAATCAGAGCAACCAATAAGAAAACAGAGTAATACGAAACAGGTTTTTACCTTCAGTTAGTTAAAGATAATTTAGCTCTCTAAAAATTATAGCCGTATCTTGGCTTCATATAAATCCCCAAAATAAGATAAAGAGTTCTATGTTTTTATATTGCATTGCCCTGGAATGCACAGATTTTAACAGCCAAGCTCTGGTCTACTTTTGCATGAGGAGAACTATTTAACCATAAATTACTTATTGCTAGGATCTGTCAAATACAACCTGGGAAAAATTATTTGTTAAGAGCATATACATATTATACATTCAACACTGCCCCCAAATCCTTTAATACAGCTGTTTTAGAGGTAAAGCTAAAAATTTTACTTTTTTTTTTTTTAAGTGAAACTCGCACTCTGTTATTTAGTTAACAGTTCGGGCTGTGAATTAAGAGTGGTGTTGACCCACCTGATTGGACCAAGAGTTTTTGTATCCATTAGGGTGAGATCTATTCAGCCAGACTTCAAACATTCTCAACCATACATAGGATATAACCAAACTTGAACGTTCTGTGTTCTATGCTACCCTTGACATGTACTTTAGTATTTAGCCTTTTGTACCACAATCTTGTCTTGATTTGATTGAATTAATCCATGTAGAAAACAGCTCAGTTAAGAGGGCTGCATTTCTTGCTTATCTTTGGACTAAACTGTTCCATCACAAGTCTTTTCCTCTCGTTGGAGAAAAGGCATGAGGAACCTGAAGTCCATCTGATATTGGTCGTTGGTGGCTCCCAAGTGTCCCAGCCTTTATAGACAGTGGTAAGTAATGTTGAATGACAAGTTCTACAGCACTGAATCTGCAAACCTTTGGTGGAGCTCATGACCACTAGCTAGTTCAGAGGCAGGATACACCTGGTCTGGAGTGAAGAAAGAGGTCTGTTTGCACTGGGAATGTGTTGATATGGCCATTGACACTTCTGTAAATAACACGGGCTCCCACGGTAGATTTGGCCCATTCAATGAACCCCCTCGCTAGGTTTTTTTTCACATATTGCTGCATCTCCATTTCGAGGGGGGACATAGCGTACATTCTCGGGCATGGGAGTTTGGCTCCTGGCACCAGTTTGATTGAGCAGTCATTGGGTCTGTGAGGGGGCAGGGCATTGCATTCTTTTTCACTAAATTCCTCCGCTAGGTCCTGGTATTCGCTGGGGATGAGTGGTTCGCCTGGTGATGGTGAGGCAACCATATGCACTCGCTCATTAGGTGGCCTCCACATCCCGTTTCAGCCCTGGCCACCAAAATTGCTGGCGGATGTTCTTGCTTTGACATGTGCAAGGCGCAACACAAAACCATGTCCAATTTTTGGGGCTCAAAGATAAGGTGTCCCCTTCATTTGCACCTGCTGGGGAGGTGGGGGCAGTAAAGAGGCACCATTCAAAAATCCAGCACATTTACAACCCTGTACAGGGGCAGATGAGAGAACCTTTTTTTTCTTTTTGCTTTTTTTGTGGTATTTATATATTCAGCTTGGATGTTTTAGAACAGAAGTACAAAGGGGGAAATAGTTTGAGGAACAGGATGCAGGTGGAATGAGGTACCTATATAATTTCACCTCCTTTCTCAACTTACTGTGGTTTGTTCCTTCACAGAACTGGGGTTTTTTACATTCTATTTTGTAAATAAAAATGATCCATAAACGGTTGTGTTTGGTTCTTTGAACTTGGATGTAAAATGGCGTTTAGCTATTTGCGACAGTGGTGAATATCCATAGCTTGTGTAGGGCGAGGGTGGAGGTTCGTTCTCCCAGCTTTGTGGGTTGGTTTCCGAATGTTTCGTTGCCAGACTAGGTAACATCTTCAGTGGAGTTTAGGGAAGCTATTTAGCTATTTCTCCAAAAGAATGGATGTACTGATACTGATAGGATCCCTGGTCCAATAGCCAAGAGCAAGCAAGCAAAATAAAAGGCATGGCTCCTGGTGAATTCTTAGCCGTGCCCCTTAACTCCGGCTGATCAGTCTATGCTAATTGGCTGGTTTTGAATCATAAAGGCGCCTCCTGAGACATAACAGACTTCTGATGAGTTGCATGCAGCAGATTGCTAGAAACTGGAATTTAGGATTAGTTCTAGAACAGTAGCTTTAGCTAAGGAGCAATAGTCCTGTTTTTACAAGGATTCCGTTTTGCTGGGCTGGACTTCTTTCACAAGGGGTAAGTGATGGAGCTTCTTCTAACTCTTTGATACATCTGATTACTCCTATTTAGCTGGACCTTTTCTGAATTTGAGATCAAACAAGGAATAAATGCTTCATCATACCTGGCAATGCATCTGATGCGGAGTTGATTCCAGATGGTTGCAAGCTGTCTGGATTTAGGGCCCAGCTAAATACCCATAATATGTATTGTCTTAGCTCTGGTACCATTTTCTCTTTGCAAAAAAGATCAAAGTCAGTCTATAGCTGGAGTGGGCAACAGGATACATAATAGGCTATATGAAGCTCCTGTTTGCAGCCCACGACCTCATTTTAAATGCATGTTTGAATTTTTGAAATGTGATTTCTTGGAGGAAAGCATAGCAGTACTGTGCAAATTCTAGAGTAATTGTAACACACAAAAAAGAATCTCTCTCTCACACACACAAACTACAAGACCTAGCAGTCCCAGACACCAAAAGGCTGCCCACTACTGGTTGAAGTATATCCATGCTCCACTTTTTTCAAAAGTGCGCCGATTTCCATCCAAATTCTGGAGACACTGCTACTCTTGGTAGAAACAAGTTGTAAGGCAGAATATTATTATTAGTGTTTTGTTTGATTGAGAAGCCCCTCCCTCTACTTATGACCTCAATGGAGCCCAACATTTCTGTCGCTGAGTGAGACAGTTGTTAAAGAGAGTTTTGCCCCATTTTACAACCTTTCTTGCCAGTTGTGAAGTGAATACATTGCAGTTGTGAAGTTAGTAACATGATTGTTAAATGAATCTGGCTTCCCCATTGACTTTGCTTGTCAGAAGGCTGAAAAAGGTGATTACATGAACCTGGGACGCTGCAGCTGTCATAAATATGAGCCAATTGCCAAGCACCCAAATTTTGATCACATGTCCATGGCAATGCTACAACGGTAGTGTGAAAAATGGTCCTAATTCACTTTTTTCAGTGCTGTTGTAACTTCAAATGGTCATTAAATGAATTGTAAGTTGAAAACTACCTGTATATCGTCCCCCTTTCCTACCAAAGAGGGAGAGACAGAAGCAACTACAAGTGCCAAAAAGATGATAGTCAAGAACATACATTTAGCCAGATAAAGCTTCTTCAGATCAAACATAACAAAGCTCGGTTTACTTTTATATTTTTGTTGCATTTAAGATTGGGATTATGTGTGGAATAGAACAAGGTGGTATTTTTAATTCCAAAGCTGAAAACATAATTCCATTCATTCTCCAAAATTTGGACGGCTATTTTTTTTAAATGCTTCTTTAGCTATAAAACTCCTTGGCAGCAGAAAGCAAGAGAAAGGAGGCTTAGAAGACCACGTTTCTGTTTCCTGCTATTAATGTTCTTGCCAATCTTTAATTACTCATGAGTAATATTAAAATGCCTCCCACCTGCACTTCAAAGATACATGACTTACTACATGATCTCATGCTCATTGTGTAGATGAAGCCTGAGTTTTGCAAGGCAATACTTTCCTACAATGTGAATTGTTCTCTGCTTTTGAAATGACACCAACGTGAGCCTTAAACTCCTCAGACGCAAAGGAGAAATTAGACAACTGAGACAAGAATTTTGCTAAGCAAGGGGGTTGTTAAGGGAGCCACATCCAATTTTACCACCTTTTTTTTCCCCATGGCTGTTAATCAAATCGTTTTTAAGGGAATCTGGCTTCCCCCATTGACTTGGCTTGTCAGAAACCAGCTGGGAAGGTCACACATGGCAATCACATGGCTCCCTTGCTATTATTATTTTATTATTTTATAATATGTAATAGAAAAATACAGCACCCACACAATCATGTGATCAAAATTTGGGTGCTTGGCAACTGGCATGTATTTATGATGGTTTTAGCATTCGGGAATCATGTGAACAAAGCAATCACATGACTCCTGAATGCTAAAACCATCATAAATATATGCCAGTTGCCAAGCACCCAAATTTTGATCATGTGGGTGCTGTGATGTCGTAAGAGCAAGGAATGGTTGTTAGCCACTGGCCTGAGTGCTATTGTAACTTCAAACGGTCACTAAACGAGTAGTTGTAAGTCAAAGATTACCTGTACTCCACAAAGGAGATCAATCCAACAGCGGACAAGAATTCAAATTTGACTTAAAAGTTGTATTAAACCTTAATATCATTACTGCCAATGTAAATAACAGTCTTCAACTTGATCACATTAAACCCTTCAGTTAGGTGGACTCTTAAAGGGATCTGGGGAGTGACATGTGAATTGGGAGCATCAGGTTATGCACTCCTGGTATAAACCTTTCCCCTAGAGCCTGACATAATAGTGTAGGAATGGGTTTACTCTTCAGCAATTTGTGAGAATTAAGTTATAATGTACATCGAAGCCTGACTGTCTTTCAAAACAGGAGTGCTAAGAAATACCATTTCTTCTTACAACGGAGTGTTAGAGCCCAGAGAAGCAATCACATGGGACGTTGTCAGAGGAGAACTGGAAGGCTACAAATGGAGTTGAGGTTGACTATTGCTCTCAACAGGCTGGAGATGACCTGACCCAAAGAGTATTCTTCCAGAAGTACACCTGTTCAAAGGACCATGGTTACTATCACGCCATGCCAGCTGAAAGATGGTCTACTGAGCAATGGGTTCACATGCCTTTTAAGGGTTTAGGTCTAATGCT